CAAAATGAAATGAGATATTCAGAAAAACGAAATGAATATATTAATATTTCACTAGAAATATAACACAACTTTCCCTATGAAAAAATTAGTAACGACCAAATGAAATATTAGAAAAAAAAATTATGAATGGAAATCAATATTAATTCTTTTTACGAAGGAAAAAGGAAATGAATATGTTCATATTTCACTGAAAATATAATCGACAATTATATTTTTCTGAAGGAAAAAGGAAATGAATTTAGTAATATTTCTCTACAAAGATAATCGTCAATTATATTTTCATAATTATATTACTTTTTAATTATATGAAAATAAATATAAATTTCTTTTATGAACGAAAAAGGAAATGAATTTTACATCCGGGAATCTATTATTAATATTCTGTTACTAATTGGCATGGGAATCATGTCACATGAAAAGGGGATTTTATATTAAAAATTCATTGGAAATATAACACATCTTTCCCTATGAAAAATTTAATAACCGCCAAATAAAATATTAGAAAAAAATTATGAAGGAAAAAGAAATGAAAATGAATATTAACTCTTTCTATGGATGAAAAAGGAAATGAATATATCCATATTTCACTTAAAATATAATCAAAAATTATATTATTATATAATTATTATAATTATATTAATTATTCATGAAGGAAAAATAAAATGAATATATTAATATTTTACTGGAAATATAACCAATAATTATATTTTTATAATTATATTACTTTTTAATTATGTGGAAATGAATATTAATTCTTTTTATGAACGAGAAAGGAATAGATTACCCTAAAAGTTCCAGCGTAAACAATTCATGTTGATGCTTGCATATGCCATGACTATTAACAAAAGCCAGGGCCAAACACTAACTCACGTTGAGTTATTATTGAAAAAACCTGTCTTTACTCACGGTCAATTGTACGTGATTTTTTTCCCGAGTCACCCATCTTGATGCTTGAAGGTGTTAGCTCTAGATGGGGATGGACAAAATTTTGTTGCTACTACCAATGTCGCCTACAAAAAGATTTTTAATAATGCATAATTCAAACCACTAATATGATGTAATCTTTTTATACAGGTATATATCTACATATAAAATATATCTTCCATACAAATAATTTATATGACTGGGTTTCTAGACAACGAGCTAATTAGACCAATTAATACAAATTATAAACACTGATATATAAAATCTCTAAAGTTTCAGCACCGGATGTGTATATCTACATATTGGCTATTAATTGGACAATTATTTGCTCAAATTTAAGCAATGATAACATCATAAAACATAATCGGTCCAACTCAATTTTTCAATTGCACTATATAATATTCAATGTTATAATTTATACAATTGTATATAGTTCTAAATATTCTTAAAATATTATAACAAATCCATCCCGTGCATCGCACGGGTGCAAATACTAGTAATAATAAAGTAAATACATTGGTGCTTGCGCCGCCTTTCAGTTCATATTCTCACTGGTATCTCTCTTGAATTTTTTATTTGATTTCTTAATGGTTTGTTCTCTACAATGCAGTTTTTTTGTTTACCGCAAATTTTTTTTGCCTCATAATTATCTCTAATTGAGTTATTCTTACAATATTCAGTATTTTCCTTAGTTTCATGTTTTTTTTTTATGAAATTAATGCGCTCCAACATCATTCTAATTTTGATTTCTAGTGCATGAAAATATTTGTCCAGTGCTGTGAAGCATTGGAATATTATTTTCCAGTGGAATATATATTTCCAAACCGAAACCGAACCAAACTATAATGTTAAATCGGAAATGGTATCATTCTTAAATACTGAAATATCTATAACTAAACTAAAACGAAAAAAAAAAAAAAAAAAAAAAAAAAAACAAACCAAATCTCAAAACGTCCACCCCTATATGATCTTATAATGGTAAGATTTTAATAGTTGTATTAAGAAAAAACCAGTTTAGTTGACGTGAGTGGCCGTGCACTCTTGTCCCTTAAGAGAGGTTGGGGGTTCAAACCCCCTCTCGTATGGAAAAAACCAATCTGGCCAAACGCATTGGATTAAAAAAAAAAAAAAAACTCTCCAAATACCTTCAATTTTACTTGTTTCCTTTCTTCCTCCTCCATGGCAATACTTATTCTTTTCCTTTGTTTCCTTTCTTCCTCCTCCGCTCTCTCTTCTTTCTTCCGCTTGTTGTTTGCTTTGCCATAGCTTATCTCAGCTTTAGCTTCTTTGTACAAATGTCTCACTCCAAGTGCCTCAAATCCAACCGCCGTCGTGAAGGCCCGCCGCTCGTGGTGCTGCTTCGCCGAGCCGCCTCACAGTCTCGAAAATCCACTACTACTTCAACTGCTTTCTCTCACGACTAAATCCCCATCTTCCTTTTCCCATTCCTTCTCCGCCTCCCCTCTCTCTCACAAACCAATACTAACACTCTTGTTACTCGAACTACCGGCTGGATCCTTTCCCCGAGCCGGGTGTCTCCTATCGACAAACCCTAGCTCCCAATCCTCCGCTCCACCTGCACTCCTCCCGCTCCGCCGCTGAGCTTCTTACATCGCCCTTGCCGCTCCGCCGCGAGGGCTCTAATGCTAGTGCCGTGACGGAGGAGTGCGGTCCCGAGGGAATCTTTGACACGAGGTTGAGTCTCAAGGGGAGTAATGGGAGTGCCTTGGTGTTGGAGCTCTTCGTCGAGGCTCTCATTGCTAACAACTTGGTATTTGTCGACTTGATTGCGGATTATCAGAAAATAAAGAAAAAGAAAGAAGAGAGAGAGAGAGCGGAGGAGGAAGAAAGGAAAACAATGAAAAATAAAAGAAAAGAATAAATATTGCCATGTAATCATCCAGGTCAGCAATTAACCGGAAAAAAGGGATGGAAACAACTACCCGGTGAAATTGATGGCATTTGGGACATTGAGTGAAGTAATTGCATATATTTTTTTTTAATCTAGTGATTTAATTACACTTTTCGATGACGTTTCGTGGCCAATTTGGCCCTTAGGGGGCGTTTGGTTCAGGTCATCTTAGATTACCAGGTCATCTGAGTATGGTAATGTTATATTACATTGTTTGGTTCAAGTTATGAGATTACAAGGTAATGTTATATTACCTAAAAGCTGATTCGGCGGTAATGTGATTACCCCCATCTTTTTTTAGGTAATCTTAGATTACCTTGAATTATTCCAACTTTGCCCTTGTTAACTAATCTTTATATAATAATAATAATAATAATAATAATAATAATAATAATAATAATAATAATAATAATGAAATTAATATATGTTTATATAATTAAATATACATATATGTATATTTATATATTTAGTTTTTTTTTAATATTTAAGTTTTGATATACATGCATAGATATAAATAAAAAAACACACATAATATATATATATATATATATATATATATATATATATATATATATATATATATATATTATTGAGGGCATTATTGTAAATCGATCCATATAACCTAAAATATAACCCTGAACCAAACAAGGTAATATTATATTACACCATCCAAACCAAACACACAAAGTAATCTTACATTCCCAAAATCTCACATTAAATTCCAGGAGATAATCCTATTACCTGGGGTAATCCAAGATTCTGTGAACCAAATCCTATTTTTAATTTTGATTACCAAAATTGGATACAAAATCCCGGTAATTCCCAAGTCCCAAGACAGGCATATTTGGCATTTAATTTCCAGCCCGGCCGCCCATCCAAACCAAACACACAAAGTAATCTTACATTCTTAAAATCTCACATTATCTTCCAGAAGATAATCCTATTACCTGGGATAATCCAAGATTCTGTGAACCAAATCCTATTTTTAATTTTGATTACCAAAATTGGATACAAAATCCCGGTAATTCCCAGGTCCCAAGACGGGCATATTTGGCATTTAATTTCCGACCCGGCCGCCCATCCAAACCAAACACACATAGTAATCTTACATTCTCAAAATCTCACATTATCTTCCAGAAGATAATCCTATTACCTGGGATAATCCAAGATTCCGTGAACCAAATCCAATTTTTAATTTTGATTACCAAAATTGGATACAAAATCCCGGTAATTCCCAAGTCCCAAGACGGGCATATTTGGCATTTAATTTTCGACCCGGCCGCCCATCCAAACCAAACACACAAAGTAATCTTACATTCTCAAAATCTCACATTATCTTCCAGAAGATAATCCTATTACCTTGGATAATCCAAGATTCCGTGAATCAAATCCTATTTTTAATTTTGATTACCAAAATTGGATACAAAATCCCTGTAATTCCCAAGTCCCAAGACGGGCATATATTTGGCATTTAATTTCCAGCCCGGCCGCCCATCCAAACCAAACACACAAAGTAATATTACATTCTCAAAATCTCATATTATCTTCCAGAAAATAATCCTATTACCTGGGATAATCCAAGATTCCGTGAACCAAATCCTATTTTTAATTTTGATTACCAAAATTGGATACAAAATCCCGGTAATTACCAAGTCCCAAGACAGGCATATATTTGGCATTTAATTTCCGGCCCAGCTGCCCATCCAAACCAAACACACAAAGTAATCTTACATTCTCAAAATTTCACATTATCTTCCAGAAGATAATCCTATTTCCTGGGATAATCCAAGATTCCGTGAACCAAATCCTATTTTTAATTTTGATTACCAAAATTGGATTCAAAATCCCGGTAATTTCCAAGTCCGAAGACTGGCATATTTGGCATTTAATTTTCAGCCCGACCGCCCATCCAAACCAAACACACAAAGTAATCTTACATTCTCAAAATTTCAATTATCTTCAAGAAGATAATCCTATTACCTGGGATAATCCAAGATTCCGTGAACCAAATCCTATTTTTAATTTTGATTACCAAAATTGGATACAAAATCCCTGTAATTCCCAAGTCCCATGACGGGCATATTTGGCATTTAATTTCCGGCCCGGCCGCTTCTTTGCAATATTGGACGGTGTTTTACTTCCGTCGGCTCCTATATATATATCCCCGCCACGGAATCTTCTCTCATCAAGTCATCACTCATTACTAATCACTCATACCCCTTTCTCTCTCTCTCTCATACAGAGAAGACGTAATTTTCTATCATTTCGCTCAGACGGAGAGAGAGAAGACAGCTTTTGGCAGTAGTGTTGAAACGCTCGCTGGTTGAAAATTCAACCCCCCAGTCCTCGGCCCCGCTCGCCACTCCAAAAATCTCTCTTTTCTTTTCACGCACACCCACACACACACTGTGCTCTGTTTTCTCGGACTGGGACGTTTTGCTGATTGATTCACTCACTCTACTCCTACGAATATCCGTTATCTTTGAAACCCTCTAATCTTTCTTCTTCCCTTTCTCTTTTCCCGATTCATACACAGGTGGGCACATATCTTTTTTTTTGTTTTTTTTTGGTATGAAGTTCTAATCTTCGGATTTTTGCGAGCTACTTTTGGTGATGATGTGGATTTTAGCCGCCCCTATGTCTCAAGATTTCTGCTTTGCTTGCTCTCTTTAACGTTTATAAATATACTTTTGTGAACTTTTAGAATTTGTTCTTGATATCTTGTTTTGGATTCTAAACGAAAAAGAAAACTTTTACAATTTTGGATTCGGTGCTTTTACAGTTTCTTTAGCTGTAGTGTGGTTCTTTCTCTGGGAATTTCTATTTGCTTTTAAAATATTAAGGATGATTCTTCAGGTCTCCGGGGGGCTTTTAATTCGTTGTTTATGAAATTATATTGAATTGGGGGACAGTGATGGATTACTCGAGATTCGTTGAACCTTAAAAATTCACTGTCTTTTTGGTGGGTTTGATTTTATTTCGTAATAAATATTTTTTGTCCTTTTTAACGAAGTTCTTTGAGCTGACTGGGTGGACCATTGTCAAAGTTGTGCACCTTTCCGTCCTTTGCATTAGGGTACTTTCAGTTTACCAAATTGAATCTTATTACCTTCCTTGAAATTTCTCTTTTCATACTGGCAAATTTGACTCATGTGTGTTCTTGAATAATAAATACCCTGTGATTATCACGAGGCATTGAATCTTTTTGTTGAGTTATTTTGATTGGATTTAATTCATTTTTTTTCAGTTTGGGTTTACCCTTGTGTTGACTTTTGTGATTGGTGCTTATAGCTGAGGATGTTGGTGGAGAAGGAGAAGATGTATAATCCTGAGGAAGTGATTGAGCAATTTGAGGCGTTGACCATGGATGCTGGGAGGGTCCAAGAGGAGACTCTGAGGAAGATTCTGCAAGATAACAGTGAGACAGAGTATCTGCTCAAATGGGGTCTTAGTGGAAGAACTGACCCTGAGAGTTTCAAAGCTTGTATCCCCCTTGTTTCCCACAAGGATTTGGAGCCTTATATCCAGAGAATTGCAGATGGGGATGCCTCTCCTATTCTCACTGGCAAACCCATTACCACCATCTCACTCAGGTATCCATCCTTTCATCTGATACTTTCTGTTTTTTCCTCTTCTTTCATTAAATTTTCTTTTTTAATTGTTTTTTGTTTGTTTCAGTTCTGGAACTACCCAGGGGAAGCCAAAGTTTGTGCCTTTCAATGATGAGTTGATGGATACTACTATGCAGATTTTCAAGACCTCTTTTGCTTTTAGGAACAGGTAATTAATTTTGACTCAGAAGATTTTGTTGGACAAATTTTCTTCTGTCATAATAGTTGAAGCTTTGAGTGAAATATGCAAATATTTCATCATTGTAGCTGTTCAGTGTTACATTTTGATGTGGTGTTTATGCAGAGATTTCCCAATAGGGACTGGGAAGGCTTTGCAGTTTATTTACAGTAGCAAACAGTTCAAGACAAAGGGCGGTTTAGCGGCTGGAACTGCTACTACTAATGTGTACCGAAATCAGCTGTTCAGCAAAACGATGAGGGCGATGAACACTCCGTGTTGCAGCCCGGATGAAGTGATATTTGGCCCCGATTTTCATCAGTCTTTGTACTGTCACCTTCTGTGCGGGCTCGTTTTTTGCAAAGAAGTTCAAGTCATCTCCTCCGCTTTTGCCCACAGCATTATCCATGCTTTCCGCACTTTTGAACAAGTCTGGGAAGAGCTTTGTGCTGATATTCGAGAGGGGGTTCTGTCAAGCCGAATCACGGTTCCCTCTATTCGAGCTGCGATGTCGAGACTGCTCAAACCGGATCCCGAGCTGGCTGATAGGATTTACTACAAGTGCAAAGGCTTGAGTAATTGGTATGGACTAATTCCGGAGTTGTTTCCTAACACAAGGTACATTTATGGGATCATGACGGGATCGATGGAACCTTACCTGAAGAAGTTGAGGCACTATGCTGGGGATTTGCCTCTGCTAAGTGCGGATTACGGGTCATCTGAAGGATGGATTGCTGCGAATGTCAACCCCAAATTTCCTCCCGAGTCGGTTACCTTTGCAGTGCTCCCTAACATAGGGTATTTCGAGTTTATCCCCCTGAAGGATAACGTAGATGGTTTAGAGCTGGAGCCTAGCCCGGTTGGCTTAACTGAAGTCAAAGTCGGGGAGGAGTATGAAATCATTGTCACCAACTTCGCAGGTACACTTGTTTTTCATTCGAATAATTTGTTTCGAGAACTTTGATTTGTGCTCAATGCATTGGTTGAAAATCTTCGGAAAATGGAGGGGCAAGTGCTTGTTGAGTAGGCCATTTAGGTAGTTGGTCCTCCCACTATAACACTAACCAATCCAATGTTCCGCAAATTCCCACTAACCAATCCAATGTTTGTCATGCCCGAGTTTATTCCCGACTTATGCAGCCATGGCTGTTGAACATATAACCATTAATGTGCAATCCAACTATAAGCTTAGGCTTTTAGTTGAGATGGGGCACATGCTTCAATTTGGTATCAGAGCCAGACCAAAGGTCATGGGTTCTGTCAAGAGTGCGATATTAGCTTTTTTGCCTTTGGGAAGTTAAATATGTTTTCCTTTGTTGTGTTTCCATGTGCTCGGTATTGTAAGCGTTGCTCCTCTGACCTTTGAGTAGCATTATCCATGAGAAATAGTTATATATTATACTTAACAGAAAGGCAGATCAGATCTGCACATGCCAGATTACCAGTACTAAATTAGTTTAAAATTACAAACTATTCTTTTTGTCTTTTCCTGGGTGGAGAATGAAATTTATCAGCATTCTTTGGCTTGTGTGTATCCCAACAATGGTGAATTGATCTGGTTTGAATCGCGAACATGTGCAGGCTTGTATCGTTATCGGCTGGGGGATGTTGTGAAGGTGAAGGGCTTCCACAACTCGACCCCCGAGCTGCAGTTCATATGCAGGAGGAACCTCCTGCTGAGCATCAACATCGACAAGAACACCGAGAAGGACCTGCAGATATCGGTGGAGGCAGCCGCGAAGATCCTGGCCGACTCGAAGCTGGAAGTGGTGGACTTCACGAGCCACGTCAACACCTCGACAGACCCCGGGAACTATGTGGTCTTCTGGGAGGTGAGCGGGGAAGCCAGCGACGAGGTCCTCAAGGAGTGCTGTAACTGCTTGGACCGCTCGTTCTTGGACGCGGGCTACATGAGCTCCCGGAAGGTGAACTCCATCGGGCCGCTGGAGCTCCGGGTGGTGAGACGGGGCACGTTTCACAAGATTTTGGACCATTATGTAGGCTTAGGAGCTTCTGTTAGTCAGTTCAAGACTCCCAGGTGTGTTGGGGCAAATAACACCGCGGTTCTTGCGATTCTGTGCAACAATGTGGTCAACACCTACTTTAGCACCGCATATGCATAATAGATAGGCCTTGTCTTTGTGTCGTAATAATACTTTTGTCAAAATGGTATACAAAATGGTGAATTAGTTATTTGTCTCCTTTCATAAAATTTGTAAGGTTAGGCATGGCTGGTGGGTCTTGCATGTCCCCCACACCAGAGCTCTTTAAATTAGGGAAAAATATATGTATCTCAATTTTATAAAATTCACCAGAAAAGAAAGGTCTTTAAAATTTTACTTCTTTCAATCCGATTTTAAATTTCACAATTTTTGTTGAATGCTCCATCTTCTCCCAAAAAGGTTAAATTTCAATACCCAATAGAACATTTGAGAGAATGTAAATCAAGGTGACTCAATGACTTAACAGACAGAGCCAAGTGCCTGTGCGCACAAGGGATTTACCTACTTTGAACATATTTCCCACACTGTCCATAATTTTCAATTTCAATCAACTTGATCATTGAATTGTTTAAAATTTCGTCAATTAAACCCTTTCAGGGACCAAAATGGTGGTTTCCACTTTTTTAAAATTTTATCAATTTAGTCATTGAAAGGGTTTAATTAACAATTTTAAATAATCCAAGAATCAAATTGGTAGAAATTGAAAACTTGAGACTATTTTAACAATTGGAAAAAAACTATTAAGACACCAAAATGTTGATTTCTCATATATATATATATATATATATATATATATATATATATATATATATATATATATATATATATATATATATTTTGAAAGGTTTCCCGTGCAGTTGTGCGATTGATTAATATGCGTGAGTTTTGTACTCAATGTGCGTGAGTGTGTAATGTTAATGTGCGCGAGTCTTGTACGTAAGGTGTGTGAGTTTTGTACCTAAGGTGCGTGAGTTTTGTGTTTAACGTGCGTGAGTGTGTACTTAATGTGAGTTATTGTATGAGTTGTTGAAACTTTTAAGTGCATGAGTTTTGTGCTTAATGTGCGTCAGTTTTGTGCTTAAGGTCCGTGAGTCTTGTGCTTAAGGTGCGTGAACCTCACGCATATTAATCACCCGCACAACCGCATGGGAAGCTATACCCGCACCTGAACCCTTCCCTACACACACACACACACACACACACACATAGGGCCATAGGGGCACGCTCTAATGCGAACAGTCGCCCATGAGAGAAATAAGAATCATTTACAACTATCAACGTATCTAGATCAACGAATCAGATGTGATTTTTTAAAAAATGATGCAGTGGTATTTTTGTAATTTCGTAAATAACTCGAACATTGGTGCAAGTAAATGTGTTAACTTATAAGTGCAAGTAGCTGGTGCACTTTTGCAAATAAAAAGTACAAGAAAAATCACTTACAAGTGCAAGTAATTTACCTTGTTAACATCCGTGCACCTAGGTGCAACTAATTATAACGTTAGGTGTAAGTGAAACTAATTATAATGTTAGGTACACTTAATATTGATGCTCAGTGTAAATTTTACTTGCACCTGTAAAACATTTTACTTGCACTTGTAATACATTTGACTTGCACTTCGATGTTCAGTTATTTACGAAAATGCCATCGAATTTTTTTTTAAAAATCAGTGCTTCTCATCCGTTAGATCTGGACACGTGAACGGATGTCATGAGTTCTGAGTTCTCTCCTGGGTGCACCGTTCTCATTTGAACGCGATATATATATATATATATATATATATATATATATATATATATATATATATATATATATATATATATATATATATGGTTGAGTTTACATGAGGACCACAATATATAGAGGACTGTGCAGACTGATTACGGGCACACAACAAATTAGTAGCATGCACACAATTTAATACACAATGGCACACAATTACATGTAAACATCAGGTTTCGAGCCCAGTATTAATTAATAAACCTATGCACTCGACATACAAATTGTGGCACACGACTACATTAGGCCAGGCACACGACTTACAAACTAATGGCACACGACTACACCAGTCCAAACAATGCTCTATAATATAGTGGTCCTCATTTGAACTCAACTATATATATATATATATATATATATATATATATATATATATATATATATATATATATATATATATATATATATATATAGGGTTGAGTTCAAATGAGGACAACAATATATAGAGGACTGTGAGGACAAATAATGGGCACACAACAAATTAATACCAGGCACACAATTTAATACATAATGGCACATAAGAATAAATGTAAACATCAGGTTTCGAACCCAGGCTCTATAAATTAACAAATCTAGCACGCGACATACAAATTGTGGCACACGACTACATTCAGCCATGCACACGACATACCGGCTAATGGCACACACTACATCTGTCCTCACAGTCCTCTATAATATACTTGTCCTCATTTGAATACACATCTATATATAGTCGTGTGCCATTAGCCGGTATGTCGTGTGCATGGCCGAATGTAGTCGTGTGCCACAGTTTGTATGTCGCGTGCTAGATTTGTTAATTTATAGAGCCTGGGCTCGAAACCTGATGTCTACATATATTCTTGTGTGCCATTATGTATTAAATTGTGTGCCTGTTATTAATTTGTTGTGTGGCCATTATTTGTCCTCACAGTCCTCTATATATTGTTGTCCTCATTTGAACTCAACCCTATATATATATATATATATATATATATATATATATATATATATATATATATATAGGGTTGAGTTCAAATGAGGACAACAATATATAGAGGACTGTGAGGACAAATAATGGCCACACAACAAATTAATAACAGGCACACAATTTAATACATAATGGCACACAAGAATACATGTAAACATCAGGTTTCGAGCTCAGACTCTATTAATTAACAAATCTATGCACGCGACATGCAACTGTGGCACACGATTACATTCGGCCATGCACACGACATACATGCTAATGGCACACACTACATCTGTCCTCACAGTCCTCTATAATATACTTGTGCTCATTTGAACTCAAGTATGTATGTATGTATACAATAATATGAATATCTAAAATATAAATAAATATAAGATTTTAATATAAACTACGAATATTGGACACATATTTTTGTGCATCGCGCATAAAAAGTACTAATAATAATAATAAGTATGGGCATTTTGGACTTTACACTACTTATTCCTTTTCAATTCTCATGTATACCAAACATTGAAATTGAAATTATCAGTAATTCTATTCATGCACACCAAACATTGAAATTTAAATTATCATTTTATTCTCACATTATTCATTTCCAATGGATTTGTAATTCGTTTCCCACTTAATTCCCTATCCCTAACCAAACGCCCAGTAAAATACGTTTAAATTAAAGTTAAGATGAAATATGAGAAATTAAAATATAATAAAAGTGTAGTCCTACTATTTTATCTTATGATCTTAGGGGTGGGTAATTCAGTTTGATTTTTCCGAACCAAACAGTAATAGATTTTTGTATATCGAATCAAACTGAATAGTTCGGTAAAAATCAAACCAAATCGAATACAGTTTGGTTTTTTATTTTAATAATAATAATAATAATAATAATAATAATTATTATTATTATTATTATTATTATTATTATTATTATTATTATTATTATTATTATAGTAATAATACAGAAGTAAATCCCATGCTACACCACCATTCAGCTCATCTTTTCATTGATATCTCTCTTAAATTTTTTTATTGAGTTAATACCCAAAATCGTCCTCGACTATAGTTTTTTTTCTCAATTTCGTCCTAAACGACTTTGGTGACCTAATATCGTCCCAGACTTTTGTGTTTCGCTCAATTTAGTCCCAGACTTTTGTGTTTTTGTTCAATTTAGTCCCTCATTTGTTATTCTGTCCATTTGGTGTTAAATAAATAGACAATTCAGTAATTTTAATATTGGCATCTCTTTACTCATAGACATGTGAACTGCGAGATCCCTTTTTTTTTTTTTTACGAATTACTCCAAGAATTACTCCTAAAACTGCGAATATAAAATTTGATTTGCAGGTCCGGGAGTAATTCTGGGTGTAATTCGTACAAGAAAGAGAAATTTCGCACTTCACAAGTTGAAAGTAAAGAGAGATCAATATTGACATTACTGAATTTTCCCTTTATTTAACACCAATTTGACGAAATAACAAATGGAGGACTAAATTGAGCGAAACACAAAAGTCTGGGACGATATTAGGTCACCAAAGTCGTTTAGGACAAAATTGAGAAAAACCACTATAGTCGAGGACGATTTTGGGTATTAACTCATTTTTTATTTGATTTCTTTATGGTTTGTTCTCTACTTTGAGGTTTTATGTTTCCCGCAAGTGTTCTTTGCCTCAAAATTATCTCTAATTGAGTTATTCTTACAATATTCAATGTTTTCCTTGGATTCATGTTTCTACTAAATTAATGTGTTCAACATCATTCTAATTTTGATTTCTAGTGCTTGAAAATATTTTTCACATGCTTGGAAGCATTAGAATATTATTTTCCAGTACTATAATATATTTCCGAATTGAAATCGAACTTTTTCAAACTAAATCAAACTATAATGTTAAACTGAATGATATCATTTTTAATACCAAAATATCTTTAACGAAACGAAAATGGAAAAAAAAAAAATAAACCGAATCTCGAGCTCATCCCTATATGATTTTATAATGGTAAGATTTTAATAATTGTATTAGGAAAATCTTATACAACCAACCCGATTAAAAAATAGCTAAGATTTTAATAATTGTATTAGGAAAATCTTATACAACCAACCCGATTAGGATATATTTTTAATTTTGATGACCAGAATTGGATACAAAATCCCAGGTAATTCCCAAGCCCCAAGACGGAAATATTAGGTATTTAATTTCCGGCCAGGCCGCTTTTGCAATCTTGGACGGTGTTTTACGGAGCGTTATGTCATGGAACCGTGTTCACCATTCATGGTGAACACGGTTCCAACGGTGTTAGTACACCGTTATCTTTTTTTTTTTTTTCTTAATTAATTGCGTGACTTTTCTTCTTCATTTTCACATTTTGCGGTTTCACTTTAATTTGAGGTGAACAATGATTTCGGACATTCATAAATTATGAATTCATGCTTGCACATTCACTTTGGAACCATGCCTACACATTCCCGTCCGAAATCACGAACATTCATAAATTATGAATCCATGCCTGCACATTCACTTTGGAACCATGCCTACACATTCACTTTGGAACCATGAGATTATGAATTTTCTGTTATGAGATTATGAATTTTCTGTTATGAGATTATGAATTTTCTGTTATGCGATTATGAATTTTCTGTTATTAGATTATGAATTTTATGAAAATTCATAATCTCATAACAGAAAATTCATAATTTGATCAACGCGCGCCGTTAACTCCACATCCGCGAATTTATTTATTTATTTTTTTTGCCTAAAAAAGATGTCGTTTGGCCTTGTGTTCACCATTCACGGTGAACACGTTTCCAGGGCATAATTTGCCGTGTTTTACTTCGTCGGCTCCTACGTATATATCCCCGCCACGGAATGTTCTCTCATCAACTCATTGCTAAACCAGAGACGGAGGCAGAGAGGGGGCAGGGGGTCAGCTGCCCCCCCCCCTCACCCCACCCCCACCCCCACCCCCGATATAATATGTATATGTATATATAGTATATGTTTTAGTATTAGTATAAAAAAATTAGTAATTGTCAACAAATAAGGAGTTAGATTAGTTGGTGGAGCATATCTATTGTAATAGAAATGGTCTTGGGTTCAAAACCTTGCATTAGCATATTTTGTCCTTTCCCTATGGATTTAACACATTTACTTTTTTAATATTTAATACAGACACACACATATATATAACATTCTTTTATATTAATAGTGATATGTATAATTTATAATGTGTTTTCTATTCAAATTATTTTATTAAATTACAATTATATTTCTTAAGTAATGGTTATAAAAAAAAAATTCTTAGGTAATTTATTTTTTTTTAATTATATCTTTTATTTTAATGTTTCGCTTTTACTGGAAAAAATTTCTGAATCCGTCCTACTTCGCCCCCCCTCAATCAAATTTCTAGCTCTGTTCATGTGCTAAACCACTCCAAAAACCACTCTTTCTTTTCACGCACACTGTGCTCTCTTTTTGGTGGGTTTGATTTTTTTTTTTTTTTAAATGTTACTCACTCTATTAGATTCTAGTATATGTTTAAACATACTTTCTCAATCGAAACAAAAAGAATCAATGACGCCTCTACTAAGGTTTGATCTCATGACTTCTCATATAAAAGAAGTAGCTATATGCTATCTGAGCACAAGGTACTTAACTAAGGACTTTGCTTTTATTATTTCGTAATAAATTATTTGTTTTCTTTCTTTTTTAACGAAGTTCTTTGATCTGATTGGGTTGACCATTGTCAAAGTTGTGCACCTTTCTGACCTTTTGCATTAGGGGTACTTTCAGTTTACCAAAATGAATCTTATTATTTTCAAAGGTTGTAAAAATCGCTAGACGTTTTGTTTTTTGTTTTTTGTTTTTTTTTTTTTTGTAATTTAATTTTTTTTTTTAAAAAAATTAATATTTTAATAGTTAGTACTAAAATACCATTAAAAATGGGGTAGATTTGAACGAAATAACATATTTAAAAAAACACTGTAGCTAACTGGTAGCTTAAACGTCCGCGTAGACCACCTAGACTATCGCCTAGGTCGCATTGTCCGCCGTGACCTAGTCGGCGCCTAGGTCGCCTAGAACGGTGGTTCCGTCAAAATTTTTGGCGATCGGTCACCGTCTAGCTCCTAGGCGTCGATTAGGTGCCCTTGCAACAGAGATTACCTTCTATGAAATTTCTCTTTTTCATACTGGCAAATTTGACTTCATGTGTGTTCTTGAATAATAAATACCCTGCGATTATCACAAGGCATTGAATCTTTGTTGAGTTGTTTTGATTGGGTTTAATTCATTTTTTTTCCAGTTTGGGTTTACCCTTGTGTTGACTTTCGTGATTGGTGGTTATAGTTGAGGATGTTGGTGGAGAAGATGTTTAATCCTGAGGATGCATGTGATTGAGCAATTTGAGGCGTTGACCATGGATGCTGGGAGGGTCCAAGAGGAGACTCTGAGGAGGATTCTGCAAGATAACAGCGAGACAAGAGTATCTGCGCAAATAGGGTCTTAGGTTCTGTTTGGCAGACCTAGCTGAAAAGCTATAAGTTAGAAAAAAAGTTGAAAGTTGGAAAAACATAAGCTCGAAGCTGAAAACTGAAGAGTTGTAAAGCTAGCTGTTGTGATTGAAAGTGTTTGGTAAAATTAACGTTTTGATAAGCTGATAAATGTAAAAATACTAAAAAGGACATCTTCATAAAATTTAAATTAGTTTGTTTACGTATTAAAATTTAATATTTTGTCTTTAAAAAAAATTAACATTTTGAAATAAAACTATTAGAATAATCATGATCTACCATCTCATAATGAAGTAGCAATATTGTTGTAAATCTAATAATAATAATAATAATAATAATAATAATAATAATAATAATAATAATAATAATAATAATTGCGGTGGAAGTTGCGATAAAGGAGAAGAGAAAAATATTTTAATTGAAAAGGGAAAGTTATGTCATTTCTTTAAAATAATAAGGATAAACATGAAAAAAAAAAGTTAGGAAGCTAGGAGCTTATTTTGAAACGTTCCAAAATAAGCTCTTATTTTAAGCTAGAAACTTATTTTGGGAACATTACCAAACAAAGCTTATAACTTATTAGTAGCTTAAAATAAGCTATAAGCTCCTAAATAAGCTTTGCCAAACAAAGCCTTAGTGGAAGAACAGACCTGAGAGATTCAAAGCTTGTATCCCCTTGTTTCCCACAAGGATTTGGAGCCATATACTCAGAGGATTGCATATGGGGGATGTCGGCGCCTCTCCTATTCTCACTGGCAAACCCATTACCACAATCTCACTCAAGTATCCTTTTATCTAAGGACGGAGTCAGAAAATTATTTGAATAGAAGTGAAGTTTAAATGACGTTAAAATGTCAATTACAAAATATCAAACAGTTATAATAAGGTCAAAATATAAAATACATTATAAATTACAATAGAATATTTTTTATAGATTACACGATACTTAGAGTCGGAGTCAAAAATATACTTGAGTGAGTGAAAATGTGAAAATATTTATGACAAAATATGAAACATAATCATTTAGGTAAAATAATTTGAATAACACTATATTCATAAATATTTTTTAATTTTAATTTTTTTAGTTAGATCAACTTTCAATTTTTTCTAAATTAATTCGAATACAATGGAGTATAATATAAACTTGTTGATGAATTTAATTAACCCGGGGTGGCCCGAATTACTAAATCCGGATAAGAATGCAGTACAGTAAATAGATAGAAACGACGTTGTAAAGGCCATGAGACCGTATATTATATTAAATGCCGTAGAATTGGCTATTACAATAGTATTTTAGGATAAAGTGTGCAAGTAGAATATATCGTAGATAGAATTGCCCTTTGTTAGGACAAGGAAGGGGGTTTTTATACAAGCTAAACCCCCCAACCGCCTCACCCTAAATTGGGGGGGGGGGGGGGGGGTGGTTAGATCTCAACTTTGACCGGGCCCGGGTGGACCGGATTGGGTCGGGTCCCGAGCTCGGGTAGGACCGAGCTCCCCGACCCGAGCCCCACGGAGGTCGGCTCGGGTCAGGGCACCTCCGTGGTGCCTCGGATCCGCGTTGCTCTTGGGCACCTCCGTGGTGCCCCGGGTCCGTGTTGCCCTTGGGCTCCACCAAGGTGCTCCGGGTCCGTATTGCTACCCCGGGTCGGGTCGTGGGTATAATATATCCATCATGAGTCCCCTACTCTCTTCGTTGAGAGTGGAAGTCAACAAATGAGAGTAAATATCCGGACCCGACCTCCATGTGCGAATGTAGCCGAGCTCACCATGGCCGAGGTGCCTTGTGCCGAGGCGTCTTGAGTCGAGGTGTCTTGGGCCGAGGTGTCCTGAGCCGAGGTGCCTTGTGTCGAGGTGTCTTAGGCCGAGGTGAGACTCTTGGGCTGAGGTGAGACGTCTTGGGTCGCTCCACCTCCTTGCTCCGCTCCCCCCGGGTCGGTTTGCTCTGCTCCCCAACCTTCCTCATGCACGTGGCCCGAGCTCAACGTAGCCGACCTTGTTCTCGCTCGGTGATGTACTAGACTTAGATGTCTCTTGAATATTTTGAATGAACAATTAATTGGCTCCTTTACTTTGTTGATGTGATGGTTTCCACCATTTACCTACTATTGCCTTTCTTTCAAATACTTGTGTTTTTTTTTTTTTTTTTGTGAGTCCCCCCGGCTAGCGCCGAGGTGGACCTCGGCACGTTGTCGACGTGGTGCCATGGTGCACCTCGGCAACGTGCCGAGGTGCGACCAAGGTGCACCCCGGTGCTGTGCTGAGGTGCGTTGGGCCTTTTTTTTAGGCCATGTGTTAGCCTCTTTAACGTAGTCTTATGGGACTACGCCACCGGGCTCTCCCGTCGGAGTTGGTACGTGAGGTCGGACCTCGTGCCCCCTTAGGGTGCGCTTAACCGCTCGGGCCAAGTCCTGTCGGACAAAGCCACTAGGCTCCTCCGTCGGGGTTAGTACGCGAGGTTGGACCTCGTGCCCCCTTAGGGTGCGCTCTAGCCGCTCAGGCCGAGTCCTGTCGGACCAAGCCACCGGGCTCTTCCGTCGGTGTTGGTACGCGAGGTCGGACCTCGTGCCCCCTTAGGATGCGCTTAACCGCTCGAGCCAAGTCCTGTTGGACAAAAGCCACTGGGCTCCTCTGTCGGGGTTGGTACGCGAGGTTGGACCCCGTGTCCCCTTAGGGTGCGCGCTAGCCGCTCAGGCCGAGTCCTGTCGGACCAAGCCACCGGATTCTTCCGTCGGAGTTGGTACGCGAGGTTGGACCTCGTGCCCCCTTAGTGTGCGTCCTCCGTCGGGGTTGGTACGCGAGGTCGGGCCTCGTGCCCCCTTAGGGTCCGCGGGGAGAGAACGGGTGAGCACTCGTTCCCCTTCATTTTACGTGGTTTTTTTCTTTTTTTTTTCTTTTTTTTCTTTTTTTTTTCTTTTTGCGAAGACAGATAAACGCAAGCCCACTTCGTAACAAGGGTCCTTCTCCTAACATATTTTGTAACACTCAATTTTATTCCGCTTATTGTCGTCTACACAGACATTATTTGGGGGAGGGAAATGGTTAAGGCCCACCTTTCACGTGGCGACCTGCTTCCTCCCGAAATGCCTTTTCGGCGATGGTGTGGACCTGGAGGTCATTCTGACCAATTTGGCGGCACGCCTTCGAGTAGCAGATGCGGCTCACCTTTTGGTCCCCCCGGGCGACCCCGACCTCGGAAGGTGTCGGGAACTTGAGACACAGGTGCTCCATGGAAATTACGCACCTGAGGTCCTCTAGGGCGGGTCGGCCGAGTATTATGTTGTGGGCGCAGCTGATTTTGACGATAACGAACTCGACCTCCCACCTTCTGGTGTGATATGGGGTGCCTATCTCCACCTCCAAATTGATCAACCCCTCCGTCTCAATTGAGTCCCCCGTGAACCCGGACAGGGGGGTCCGTACTTGCTCCAGCTGCCCTCTTGAGAGTCCCAACTGGGTGAACGTGTCTTGGTACATGACGTTCACCGAGCTACCCGTGTCTACGAGCACCCAGTGCACCACCACGTTATTGATGTCCAGCTTGACCACCAAGGCGTCTCGGTGGGGGAGGGGCCCATCTAGCAGGTCGGTGTCGGTGAACGTGATGGGCTCCCTCTTCGGTTTCTTCTTGTGGGGGGTTCGTGTGACCTCCCCAACGTACAAGCTTCTCGCCCACTTCTTCTGCTCGGCTGGCGAGTCCCCTCCCTCGGCCCCCCAAAGATGACATAGATGGCACATTTCTTCGGGGGCTGGGAGTCCTCCGTTGTTTTCTCCTCCTCCTCGGAGCTGTGGTCATGGTAGTTCCTCTTACGGGGGGCCGAGGTGGATGGCGCCCTGCCACCCCCCTTCCTCCATACGTTGCCTTGCTTCTGGCCCTGCTCCTAGCATTGCGCCTGACCGGGCTTCTTAATGAATTGGCCGAGGTAACCTATTTGGATGAGCTCCTCGATCTGTCTCTTTAGGAGGATGCATTCGTCTATGTCATGCCCCTTCTGCCGGTGGAACCTGCAATACTTGTTGGGGTCCCCCCTCGCCGATATCTTCATGCACTCCTCCTTCGGGAATACCATGATTCCCTGGTCCTCGGCGTGTGCCAAGATGGTACCCACAGGTTGTGTCAGCGGGGTGAGATAGCGTGTGGGGTTCAGCCTGGGCCCCTCAGCGTACTCACGTCGGTGTGGCCGCGGTGCCTTGCGCTCCTCCTGGGGTGCCTTGTCTTTTCGACCACTTCCTTCCTCCTGCTCATTCTTCCGCTTCTCGGCAGCCTCGACGTCAGCGTACCTTGCTGCCTTGTCCATCAGGTCGGTATAGGTCCTGGGGGGTACCTGATGAGGTCCCGGTGGAATGCGCCCAACCTCAAGTTGTTTCGGAAAATCAGCATGGCCAACTTCGCATCAAAGTTGGCGACGCCCATGGCCTCTTTCTTCCACATGTTGAGGTACTCGGCTAGCGATTCCGATCTCCCCAGCTTCAAATCACATAGGTCGGCAATTTGCTTCTTTCACTGTATGTTGGTGGCGAAATGGGATAGGAACTGCCGGGTGTGGTCCGTAAAGGTGGAGATGAACCCCGCCGGGAGAGATCTAAACTAGTGATGCGCCTGCTCATCCAGGGTGGCGAAGAACCCCCTACATAAGATGGCGTCCGTCGCCTCGATGATCATCATGGCGGCACTGTACCTGGTGAGGTGTGCCCGTGGGTTCGTGGTCCCCGAGTACGCTTTAATGGTGGGAAAGCGAAAATCTCGAGGTAAGGGATCCTCCATGATGGTGTTTGCGAACGGGGAGGACAGCACATCCTGGGGCTCTAGAGACCCGTCCCTCTCGTCGATCTTCTTTTGGAGCTCGTCCATCCTCCTCCTCAGCTGCTCAACCTCTTCTCGATGGGAGCTCGGAGCTCTACCATTCGTTTCACCCGATCGTTCGATCTGGGAGGTCTGTTCACGTCGAGGTGGGGCATGGGTCCCCCGACCTGGTGACCTCCGCGAGCCTGCCTCTCGTCGCGGCTGGGCTCGACGTCCATGGCTTGGCGACCTCCGGCTAACTGATTGTTGTCGTGCCTGCCTGCGGGAGCAGGATTCTGCTGGTGGAGGCTCATTGGCGGCAGGCCTTGGGCCCAACCTCTCTTGGGCTGGCACCCGACTGCCCAACCTTTCCATGGCGGGCCTGGTTTGGTTTGACCGCTTTCCGTCGTCCTCCTGGCGTCGGTCACGTCGTGAGTCCCCACCTCCCCGTGTGTCCGTTTGGCGGGGTGAATTGACCTCCCCCTGGGTGACAGGTGCCTAGGGTGGCTGGGTGCTTGGACCGCTGCGCCCCCGGGCGGTAGGGGGTGGTGGAGGTGCTTGTAGCCCTTGGTTGACGCCTGGGTCGGCAGGCATACGCGTTCGGAGGTCCGCCACGACTCGGGCCAGCCCTGTGGAGGCTTGCTCGAAGACCGCCATCCCCTCCCGGATGAGGTCTAGGTCCTGAACCGGGGGGGGGGGGGGTGGAGCTCCACCACTGCGGGGGTTGGTGAGCTGCGCCCTCAGATCTCCACCCGACCTGGTGGCGACGGCCGGTTGGATGCTGGGGGCGGGGGCCCCGTTGGGGCCGTTCCCGTTCGCGATGAGCTGGGTGTCGCGGGAACCATTGGTGTGGCGAGAGTTGGATCTCGATCTCGTCATAGTAGCTGGTCGCGGTAGACCACTGGATATAGAACACGCTTGAGCTGGTACAGCAGCTCCCAACAAGAGCACCAATGATGGATTTAATTAACCCGGGGTGGCCCGAATTACTAAACCCGGATAAGAACGCAGTATAGTAAATAGATAGAAACGACGTCGTAAAGGTCGTGAGACCGTATATTATATTAAATGCCGTAGAATTGGTTATTACAATAGTATTTTAGGACAAAGTGTGCAAGTAGAATAGATCGTATATATAATTGCCCTTTGTTAGGACAAGGAAGGGGGTTTTTATACAAGCTAAACCCCCCAACCGGCTCCTCCTAAATCGGGGGGTGGTTAGATCTCAACTTTGACCGGGTCGGATCGGATCGGGTCCCGAGCTCGGGTAGGACCGAGCCCCACGGAGGTCGGCTCGGGTCGGGGCACCTCCGTGATGCCTCGAGTCCGTTGCTCTTGGACACCTCCGTGGTGCCCCGGGTCCGTGTTGCTCTTGGGCTCCACCAATGTGCTCCGGGTCCGTGTTGCTACCCCGGGTCGGATCGTGGGTATAATATATCCATCACTTGTATACTACATTGATTAAAAAATTCATAAAAAGTACAATGTACTAAAAAAATGATTCATAAAAAAGTAGACTAAAAGGGCATTTAATTTGTTACTTAAACGATTCATAAAGTAGACTAAAAAATATTTAATTTATCTTGTGGAAATAAGGAAAAGTGTTGTTAAATGAAATTTGAACTTGTGACTATACACTTTTTAACATCAAATATAAAGTTCAACAAACTAAGCTACTCAAACTATTAATAATTTTAACATAAATATAAATTTTATATAATATTTAATACCATATATATAGGTTCTTTTTTGATAGCACAACTGAGAAGCTTAAGTGCCACCTCTTTAGCTAGGAACAAGTAACTAAGCCCAAAGAGTTGGGTGGGGAGAGCTCGGCATCCGCTCAGCTAAGGAGGTCAACATGGCTTTCATGGCAAAATTGGAGTGGAGGATTCTTATGGAGAACAGTAACCTCTGGGCAACATTTATTGACAAGTTCGACCATGGCAAGCGGCTGGAACTGCTACTACTCATGTGTTCTGAAATCAGCTGTACAGCAAAACGATGAGGGCAATCCCGATGAAGTGATATTTGGCCCCGATTTTCATTCGTCTTTGTACTTGCACATATTAGTATAATTACCTAATAATTATTTGTGTAATTAAAAGATTAGTTGTACAAATATTAATATATTTAATTAATAATTACTATGTTAACTAAACTAATAATTACAAGAATATTAGTATAATTACAATTACATGCACATGTGTCGTTGGATTATATATATATATATATATATATATATATATATATATATATATAATAACTAGTATTTTCACTCGTGCGATGCACGCAATGGATTTGTTATGTTATAATATATTAAGAATATTTAGATTGATATACAATTATTTAAATTATAACATCAAATACGGAGTATTATATAATGCAATTGAAAATATGGTTTGAATCGTTTATGTTTGTTGATGTTATCACTGCTTGAATTCGAACAAGTAATTGCTCAAATTAATAGTTAATGTGTAGATGTACGCATGTGGTGCTGTAAATCTAGAGATTTTTATATATCATTGTTTATGATTTTTATAAATTGGGCAAATGTGTTCGTTCTCTAACAACTTAGTTATAGTAATCAATTGCTATCTTAATTCATTTGTATAAATGATATATTTTTGTCTACATATATAGCAATTTTGTCATTTTGGAAAAAAAAAAAAACATAATATCATCGATTGTATTTACACATTATTGAAAATCTCTTTGTAGACAACATTGGTAGTCGCAACACAATCTTGTCTATCCTTGTCTAGAGCTAACACCTTCAGGCAATCAGGTTGGGTGACTCGGGAGAAAGTCACGTACAATTGTCCGTGATTAAAGACTGGTTTTTTTAGCAATAACCAACATGAGTTAGTTTTTGACCTTGGCTTTTGTTGATAGTTATGGCATATGCAAGCATCAACGGGAATTGTTTACACTGGAACTTGAAGGGCAATCTCGTATCAAAAGGAGTGAGAGACATTCGGGGGATAAGAACTGCATGTGTCCCATTAGCTATTCTTGTTTCGGCAATGTGATCTACCAATCTTGTGATGATGAGTCGCGTCCCGTTACAAAGACCAAGAGAGTGGTCTATGTTACACAATAACATAACAGGTAAACTGACATTTAATGTCAATAAATGATTATGAACACCCGACATCAATCTCAAACTATTTAAGAATTCAAGAGTGTATACTTTTGATAGATATTCACTGTCAGATTCTGCCTTACACGAAGAGTCACAACTTAAATATATTCATCCTTCTGTAGTATTCATGTCGCACATGTACTGATTAATTTGATCAACTAAATCTAAAGTCGGCGAGAGGATCGCTCGGCCTTCTAGCTGTGACTCATCAAACATGTCATATCTAGAGCTTGGGAATGTGCTTTCCACTATAGTTGCTATGGGATTGTGTCCACACTTAAACAAAACCAATGCCGAAATATCGATCTCAAATGAACCGGTGTTTACAACCCTTGCAATCCCATCTCCAATGTCTGCAATCAATTTTAAAAATCAATCAACCGTCTGTCTATTTTCCTCTGAAGCTAAGGTCCGTAGTCTCAAATCTTGGTGAGCCTTAATACCTTGCAATTTGTCCACATGTATATATGAAGAATTTATATTTGCTCCGACAACTACTGGTCTTGTTGCTTTCGGAATAACATGTAGGATTTGTTTAAAATCGAAGCCCAAAACTATTGTCTTTCCACCAAAAGCCTTTTCAGCACTACCCGATATAACGAACCTCAATAGATCCCTCATGGTTTTGTCCAAAGCCTCAAAATAGTGTTTGTGCATCATCAATGCTTCATCCCATATTATCAATTTGATCCTTATTATAAGCTCAACAAGGTCACTGCCTTGCGATATATTGCACGTGGGATGGAATCTTCGTTCAAGGAAAGTGGTATAGCAAATCTAGAATGCGCCTTCCTGCCTCCCAACAATAGCAAAGATGTTATTCCACTGGAAGCAACATTAAGAACAATATCACCATACCTCCTTATCTTTGACGATAACGTTCTCCTCACGAACGTTTTGTCTGTTCTTCCGTAACCATACACAAAGAACAATCCACCTCCATTGGAATCAATATCATTCATCACAGAGTCATGAACATTATTTTCCTCGTAGATCAATTGTGTTACCAATGTTTCATGCTTTGTCTTCAATGATTCCTTGTTATACGCCAACTCTTCACCTATCAACATGTTTTCACTCAAACCTATGCTAGTTTCGTCTGGAATTGACATTTCTGAAAAGTCCTTTAGGCTTTTCCCCCACAAAGATAGCAACTTCTCCAACTCCACCAAAGAAAACTGTTTTTTATTTGAATCCGATAACATCAACTCTTAAAAGGAAAAAAAAATAAATTAATTTAGTTATAAATAATGAAAAGTAAATAACAAAGTCGAATAAATAGATTAGAGTAAACTAAATATCATTGATTCAATATTGAGTAGTGACGGACAAATAGGAATAGGAATTTTAATATTGTTGTATTTTTAATATTAAATAGATTGCACAATATAATATTTGTTGCTATAATTTATATAATTGTATATTTATTCAAATATTCTTAAAATTCTAGTATTTTCACTTTTGTGTTGCACGAAATTGATTTGTTATATTATTTAAGAATATTTGAATCGATACAATTATATAAAGTATAATAACAAATATTATATTATGCAATTGATGAAATGGGTTGGATCAATTATATTTTTTAATGTGATCCTTGCTTGAACTCAAGCAAATAATTGTCCAAAAGCACATGCGATGCACCGATAAAATTTTTATTATATATTTAGATAATAAAATTAAAGATGAAATTATAAACAATTCTAATATTTGAAAATGTACATTTATTTGATTATAAGATTAGTGTAAAAATATCACTTAATTAATTGAATAATATATGACTCGTTTGTCTGCAATTATATTAAAACTCAATATTTATTATGATTTATGTAATTATATTATTACTAAAATAAATAGGAGAAAAAAGGATAAATAATTTAATTTTAATTATTATAAAAATAAATACAAACGATTCATGTTTAGCTTAATTACCATAATAATTATTAGTCAATTATACTAATATCTGTGCAATTATACTTTTATACCTTAAGTATATTCCTTTTCACCATATCGCCTTTACTTTTTTTCCTCCTCCTCTATATGAATGGATTAATTGTAATTATTATATAAAAAAAAATCCAACGACACATGTTTAATTGTAATTATACTAATATTCTTGTAATTATTAGCTTAATTAACATAATAATTACAGAATATTAATGAAGTATACTAATATTTGTGCAATTAATATTTTAATTACCATAATCATTATTAGTTAATTATATAATATTGTGAATTATACTTTTATATCGTCATTATATATACATATAGAAATGCACTCTGTTGCGAATGGAGCGTCCATGTGCGAATAAGCGAATGCCTGATATCCGTCAACGTGTCTAGATCTAATGGATGAAAAACAATAATTTTTTTAAAAAAAATGCGGTGGCATTTTCGTAAATAATTGAACATCAAAGTGCAAGTAAAATGTATTACAAGTGCATGTAAAATGTATTAAAGGTGCAAGTAAAATTTACACTGAGCATCAAAACTAAGTGCACCTATAGTTATAAGTGATTGCACATATAGTTATAAGTAATTCCACCTAGGTGCATGAATGTTTGCAAGTGGTTTCACGGGTACTACTACACGCTGAACTCCCCGCAAGAACAAAAACGATGCCAAATAGAACAAACTCAAATCAATGAATGTTAACAACGCAAAATGCATGCACTTGTAGGCGAAAGTACATGCACGTGTAGGTGAAAGTAGGTGCAGAATGTAGGCAAAAACTACATGCACTTGCAAGCGAAAGTATGTGCACATATAAGTGAAAGTAGGTGCACTTATAGGTGAAAGTAGATGCACCCGATCAATGAATGATGACACGTGGTGCGCGCTGATTGATTCGCATTTCGCACTTGGGTGGACATTCGCACCAGAACGCGACCCTATATATATATATATATATATATATATATATATATATATAGGGTCGCGTTCAGGTGTGGCAGTGTCTTATGGTGCGACGATTTCTTACGGTGCGGCAACACTAATAGTTCAACAAATATGCACCATCAACGTTAGGAAAATACACCACACAAAACAGAGTAAACAGAGCCCTGCATCACCAAACACACACCATTGGGTGTGAGTAAAAACACCATACACTGTTCGAAAATACTCCATTGGGGGTGGTGAGTTATATGGTGTATTTTTTTGAGTTTGTTGTGTATTTTGTGATGTTTTATTGCATTTCATTATGATGTGCTTTTATTACACTGTTGGTGCATATTGTTAACACTGTTGGTGTATTTTGGAATTCCGCCGCACCGCCGCACGGGAAGACCCCGCCTCATTTGAACTTTATTATTATTATTATTATATATATATATATATATATATATATATAATAAAGTTCAAATGCGGCGGTGCGAATAAGTGCCCAGGAGGAAATATGCGAACGAATCCGCGCGCCACACATGTCCAGATCTAATAGATTAAAAAATTGCGGTGGAATTTTCGTAAATAATTGAACATCGAAGTGCAAGTAAAATCACTTACAAGTGCACCTACTTTCACCTATAAGTGCATGTAATTTTGCCTTGTTAACATTCACTTCCCGCAAACATTCGTTACCTGGGTGCACCTACTTATAATTATAGGTACAACTACTTATAACTATAGGTGCAACTACTTTCACCTATAAGTGCATGTAATTTTGCCTTGATAACATTCACTTCCTGCAAATATTCATGTACCTTGGTGCACCTACTTATAACTATAGGTGCAACTACTTATAACTATAGGTGCACTTAGTATTGATGTTCAGTGTAAATTTTACTTGCACCTATAATACATTTTACATGAACTTGTAATACATTTTACTTGAACTTCTGTAACAACCTGTGTTACGGTCTTCAATCCCGGACTAATCATTTAACCAATCCCGTTAATAATAATTAAAAAGGGTTTGAAATTGGTTAAGATTCCCTTCAATTAATTAGTGTGGTCCATAATGGACCATGGACCATTATCCTTAAACCAAATCCTTAATCCTCTAAGGAATAGGATAAGTGGACCCTTACTATTCAGACCCTAGTGGGGACTCCAAAATCTATATATAGGGACTTAGGAAGTATTTATAAATCCTACCACATTTAATTCTACCACACAAGATATTCCCAATGAGAAACCTACAGAGGAATCCCTTTGCCACCAAACATAGGAGAATTCAGCGGAGGAAAATCTTAGAGAAGAACCTTAGTAGCCAAGGATATTGATTAGAGCTAAGAGGTAACCCATGTCTCAACAAAACCTATTTTCCTTGCTATGTCTTATTCATTGGCTCCTTTGATATACGATTTTGTGCTTGAGTCTTGATAGAGCTTTGCCTAGGGTTTATATTGTGTTTATATGATAATCTTGATGTTTATGTGTTAATCTTGATGCTTATGTGATAATCTTGATGTTTTTGATACTATGATAAATTATATGAATGATCTTGTATTTTGATTATGTCTAGAGCCCTAGGGTTATAACGTGGATTTCGTATTATGATGTTCTTGGTATATTTGGGTGGGATTTCGCATGATCGGGTGTTGAGTCTAGCCTAGGACTTGTGTTTAGGACTTTGGATATAGATTTCTTTATGCTCTTGTGATTCCGGATGTCCCTGGATCGTTATATGGTTTATGTTGAGTTTTGGCATGTTTAGGAATCGTGTTAGGATGTATTTGGTGTGATTCTTGGTTTAATTCCGTTAATTGAATACGTGGTGTTGTCTTTATGTGTTTGAATGTATATGGACATGGTTTCGGGTTCCACGAGAGATCCCGGAACCAAAAGTTGCATGTGTATCAGTGGGGGGTAGGTGGGGGGACTGACCACCCGCCACCTACCCGCTGCCCACATTCACTGTTCCAGCGGGTAGACGGCGGGTGGTGGTCTGCCCGCCGGCCACCCGCTGGAATAGTACACGGCCGTCGCCGGGTGGCTGGGGGGTGGTTCTCCACCTGCCACCTACCCGCTGGAATCCCGTCGTGGTTCGTGGTGTTTTTCCCCGTACCCCGTTGTATCCCGTCGTACCCCGTTTGTCGTGTATGAGTCTCGTTTGGTATTTTAGGCATTGTGCTAGGATTTTATGTGTGATACGTGTCGGTGTTGTTATGTCTTGATTTTTATGTGATTATGTGTTGATTGATTGATGATGATGAGTATCATGGTCATTGCGCAATGGCCAGTGTGACTGATGATGATAATGATGATGATGAGATTGTGATTGGTGGAAAATAAACTGTTGGCGGTTAGCACCACTTGTGCCCGGTCATTGTACTAAAGGTACATGCCGTAGTGGTGACTGTGCTAAAGGCGGACACCCACCTTCGACTTGCTTGCTTTAGGCATATGTCAGGTTATAAGTGCTGCGGTGTCATGTTAGAGCTATATGCGCTAACCCCTTGATATTGGCACTAGAGGTGTGGATCATTGAATGGCACTGCGGCACCATCTCGATATGTTGGTGGTTGAAAGGTGGTTTGTCGGTGGGGGCATGTAGTTGCCCGGAGGCATAAGGGGTGGGGATATAATGGTGGCCTGGAGGTATAGGTTGGAACTGATAAAAGGATGGAGGGGAGCTACAAGGTTGGAACTTGGTATAAGGTTGGAGGATGAATTGTGTG